AAAGAGCCTTTAGATTTATTCTTTGGGATTCCAAGGACCATAATTAGGACACACAGGAAGCCAGTTTCAGCACAATATAAGGGAAAACATTCAACTCCTACGTCAAAATGTAGCTAAGGGAGAAAAAGACAACATAAACATACAAGTGATGGAAAGAAACAATGAACGCTGTGGGCAAGCCTCCAAACTGAATCTCAGGCGACATCTGCTAGCAAGGTACAAAATCTTAGGCAATTTTTCCATCAATTTCTAGTGGAACTCAGAAACAGGATTGTCTCTGGCCTGAAGTAGTCAGCACCGGCCCTGGAGTTGTGTCAGGTCAAGAACTCTAGGCCCAGGCCAAGAACCAGTGCACAGCAGCGGCTAACTTCCCGCAGGTTCTATTGGGTCTTGCCCGAAATTGTCAGCGGGCTGCAGGAGAAAACTACAACTCCCATCAGACAACGCAAGCAGAGGCGGGCGGGCACTTGCGCGCGGGGGTGGACCTGACCAATAAAGACTGTCGTTACAGCGAACAGTTTGGCCGCGTTTGTAAAAGGCCGCGGCAGACGAAGAGAGAAGAGGTGAGGGCGGTCATCAGCGAGGGGCCCGGCGGGTGGGGGGCGCGGGGCAGGTAAGGGGACCGCGGTGAGAGAGTACCGGGCGGCGGTGGGACGGAGATGTAGGGCTGGGGATCCGGCGAAGAGCGTATCCAGGGAGCAGGCTGCCGCTTAGGTGATGCTTCAGCTTGGGCCTGCTTAGCACCGGAAGGGAGCGGGCTCGCGGGAGGATGCCGGGAAGCAGGTCCCGGGGGTCGGCGTGGGATTCCGGAAGCCGGCGGGGAGCCGCGCGCGCGTCTGCGGAGCCCCGGAGCGCTGTCCCCGCTGCTCCGCGGAGGCTCGGAGCTCCTGTGCGCGTCCCTTTCCCTTGTGGTTTGACAGAAACGCAGCGGACTCCAAATTCACTTTATATTCTTCTGGCTGAGACACTTTCGTCAATTCTGAGCCACAGTTTCGTCTCTAAGATGGGTAAAATAGTCTTTTCGTAGGTTCGTGTGAGCAGTTGTAGAAGGGGATGCGTATTTGAAGGGCCTGGCACGGAGAGGACTCGGGGACATACTTTTTGTTTTGTTTTTTGAAACGAGGTTTGGCCGTGGAGTCCGGGCTAGCCTTGGAACTCCGACACCGGTCCTCCTGCTGGGGAGACTGTTACCGTAAACTCGCCAAGAAGAGACTTTGCCGTTTTCGAAGACAAGTTCTTTACAAGTCGTGTTGTTTATTTATGCTTTCAGTATAGAGGCTGTACTAGTGCGTTTTAAAATTCAAGTAATACAAAACGGTGAAATAGCAGGCATCCTCCCACCGTCACTGGGTTTCCCAAGTCCTAAATCACTTTTGAGGCAACAGATTTGTATGTACAGAGGGAGGGAGGGAGGAAGAGAGATTAAAAAAAAAAAAACTATGGTGAGTGTTTAAATTTTAAAATTTATTACAGTAAAAGACATTACCGAGTGGGAGATACAGCTCTGCATAAGCGCCTGCCTGGCAATCACAAGGTCCTGAGGTCAATTCCTGGTACCAAAAAGAAGAAAAAAGACAGTACCATCAGTCCTCAAAATACACCCCCTTGCTTCACATACACTTATCCCCTTGTTCTTGGCAATGTATCTTTTTGAGACAAAGTCTTGCTATGCAGTTCAGGCTGGCCTTGAGCTCACTTTGTAGTCCAGGCTGGTCTTGAACTCGCAAAGATCCTTCTGCCTCAGCCTCCCTAGGGCTGGGTTAGCAGTGTATTTTTTACTATAGTTTTTTTTAAAAAACTTAAGCCTTTATGGGGCTGGGGATTTAGCTCAGCGGCACAGCGCCTGCCTGGCATGCGCAACGTCGTGAGTTCGATTACTGGTACTGGGGGGAAAAAACCAAAAAAAAAAAAAAAAAACTTAAGCCTTTACCCTACATCTCTGTCCTTTATTAAAACTTCGAGGAGCATATTATACACAAAATACTACAGCTGCTTCTTCACATACCCACCCACCCCCAGTACTGAGGAATGAACCCAAGACCTGCACACTGAGCTACACGGTCTTCTTAAATCAGTAAGCCCAGGCTGGGCTGAACTTGTGATCTTCCTGCCTCAGTCTCCCAGAATGCTGGGATTACAAGGATTGCTACTATATCTGACTCTTAGTTCTTTACTGATAAACTTTGTTGTTCTTTTGCAATTATAGACATCTTGCTGTGAGCATCCCTTTTTGTGCATTTTGTGTGGAGGTGGTAGAACTGAAATTGCTGAGGCAGAGTATATACAGTATTTTTTTTTTTTTTTTCTTTTGAGACAGGGTCTCACTATGCAGTTCAGGCTGGCTTTGAGCTCACTTTGTAGCCCAGGCTGGCCTCGAACTTGCAACAATCCTCCTGCCTCAGCCTCCCAAGTGCTGGGATTACAGACATGTGCCACCATGCCGGACAGTATTACTTTTACTTACACCTTTTCAAAGAGAACATTGCAGTGCACAGCTAACAGTGTAAAGTGTTTCTCCAACCTCCCCATGAGTACAGTGATGTCTTCTTTTCTTCTTGTCATTTTGCCTGATTGTTACCTTGTTTGCAGTGCTTGGGATCCAGTTTTGGACCTTGAACATGCTACACAAATGTTCTGCCACTGAGCTATAGCCCCATTCTTGTTTTCTTGTTTTTGGTGCCGGGAATCAAACTCAGGACCTTGCACTTGCCAGGCAGGCACTTGTGCCATTGAGCTAGATCCCTAGCCCCCCATTCTTGTTACTTTGTTTTAATTTGCCTCTTGCTTACTGTAAAATTATCTTTTTTATTTTTGGCTTTTTTTGAGACAGAGTCTTACTACGCAGTTCAGGCTGGCCTTGAGCTCACTCTGTAGCCCAGGCTGGTCTCGAACTCGCAACAGTCCTCCTGCCTCAGCCTCCTGAGTGCTGGGATTACAGGCGTGCACCACCATGCCCAAATTATTTAGTATTTTGAGACAGGGTCTCTCTTAAATTGCCCAGGCTGGGATGGAACTGGCAAACTTTCTGCCTCAGCCTCCAAAACTGCAGCGTTCACTGGCCTGTGCTTCCACATCCTACTCCTTTCCTTTTTTCCTAATGGATTTGTTTCTTTTTTTGGTGGTTGGGGGTGAATTTGTTAATTGTTTTGTTTTGTTTTGTTTTGTTTCTGGTACCAGGAATCAAACTCACGACCTCCCGCTTGCCAGGTAGGTTCTGTGCCCAGCTGCCCAGCGCTGAGCTAAATCCCTAGCCCCTATTGTTTTGTTAAAACTCTTAAGAAATTAGCACTTGGACTTTTGAATTTCAAATTTTTCCTCTTTTGGGGCTGGGGATTTAGCTCAGTGGCACAGTGCCTGCCTGGCAAGTACGAGGGTCATGAGTTTGATTGTTGGTACCGGAAAACAACAAAAAAAAAAAAAAAAAAAATCAAAATTTTCCTCTTTTAAAAATAACAGCTATAGCTGGCCATAGGGGTGTACACCTGTAATCCAAGCACTCAGGAGGCTGAGCCCGGAAGATTGCTCCAAGTTTGAGGCCAGCCTGGGCCACATAGTGAGTTCAAAGCCAGTCTGTACTACAAAGCGAGACTCTGTCTCAAAAAAAAACAAAACAGCTTTATTAAATATTCTTCAATTAACATAAAATTCATCTTTTTAAAACATGTTACTGGGGCTGCGGATATAGCTTAGCGGCATAAGTGCCTGCCTGGCAAGCGCAAGGTCCTGAGTTCGATCCCCAGTACCACAAAAAAAAAATAAAAATAAAAATAAAACATGTTACTGCCAGGCATGGTGAGCATGCCTATAATCCCAGCACTCAGGAGGCTGAGGCAAGAGGACTGCTGCAAGTTTGAGGCTAACCTGAACTGCAGAGTGAAACCCTGTCTCAAAAAGACCAAAAAAAAAAAAAAAAGTTACTGTTTAGCCACATTTACAACCTTTTATTACCCCCCAAATGTATGTTTAGCCACATTTACAACCCTTTATTACCCCAAAAACAACTTTTTACCCATTAGCAGTCACTACCAAGTCCCTCTAACCTCTGACAACCATGATTCTACTTTTTGTGTATGTTCCTATTCTGGATATTTTATTTAAGTGGAATCACCCCATCTGTAGCCTTTTGTGTGTAGCATATTGCAGCTGGCTAAAAGTGAGAAATGTTAACATTATTGTTTATTGGAGGTTTGCAAATAAAACTACAAATACCATTTTATACCCACTTTTATCATATAATCAAATGCTATAATGAAGAAGACCATAATAATCATTGCCAAAGAATAGAGAAGTAAAGATCCTCTTAAACTGCTGGTGGAAATTTAAAATGGTGTAGCCATTTCAGAAAGCAGTTTGGCAGTTTCTTAAAATGTTAAGTGAAGTTGCTGGGCGTGGTGGCGCACACTTGTAATCCTAGCACTCAGGAGGCTGAGGCAGGAGGATTGTTGTGAGTTCAAGGTAGCCTGGGCTACAAAGTGAGCTCAAGGCCAGCCTGAACTGCATAGCGAGACCCTGTCTCAAAAAAAAAAAGAAAAAACAAACAAAGTTAAGTGAAATAGATAAATTTGTCCTGTTTCGAACATTATACAGTGTTTACAAGTATTGTTAACACCACATGGTACCCTATAGATTTGTACAGATTTGATTTTGGTTTTGGTGTTATGTGCTGAGGATTGAACCCAGGGCCTCATGGTTGCTAAATGACTAAGCTATGTCTCCAGCGCAGTATAATTTTATGTATCAATTTTTTTTCAAAGCTTAAATGTATGTTTAGCCAAGAACCCAATACTTCTACCTGCAGGTACCTGCTCAAGAGAAGTGAAACATTTGTCTACACTGAGTTGTATGTTAATGTTCTCAACAGCACTGTTTTTGTTTTTTTCTTTTTGTTCAAGGCTGAGGTACATTCACTGCCCTTTTTTTATTTATTTACATTTTATTTTGAGACAGGGTCTCACCAAGTTGCCCAGGCTGGGCTCAGACTGTCAATACTCAGGCTTCAGGAATACAGGAGTATACCACCATGCCCAGAAGCACTGTTCATAATAGCCAACAAATGGGAACAACTCAAATGTCCGTTGGCTAATCAGTATAAACAGTCTGATTTATCCATACAGTGGAATACTGTATAGAAAAAGTACTGCTACTTGCTGCAGCCTTAGG